ATAGCCACACGAGAGAGGAATTTGGACAGACTTGCCTTTAAACCTGGGTCTACCATTTATTTGTAGAAGTACGTAAGCTTGTAAGTAGGTAGAATCCATATTTATGGCTGTATTGTGTGTGTACACACACACACACACACACATACACAACACTGCTTTAAAGTCAGGGAGGATTTTTTTAAAAGAATTATTTGTTTATTTTTTGAAATTAGTAGTGTTTAAATTCACCAGAGAGAGAGACATAGAGAGAAAGAGAGGGAGAGTGAGAAAGCAAGCTGCTGGGTCTAGGATTCGAACTGCAGTCGACCGTGCAGGAGTCCAGCGAGTCAGGGAAGTTTTTTTTTTTCTTCTTTTAAAAATTATTTACAAAAGTATGATATCAATTTATTTTTGTGTGTTTGAAGCTCTGATAACCAAACTGGATATGTGCCATATTTATTTTTAACAGCACGGAGTGCAAAGAACGTGATAGAAAGAACCCACACCGCTCTAATTTGGCCTATGCAAGTAGCAGGCAGTGAAATATAATGGCCCACTATTCGGCTATGATTGACAGTCAAACCTTAGAGCAGTCTGCACTCTGATCAGATAGCAGGTTTTCTCCCATAACCTCGCAGTCCAAATCTCTCTGCCCTTTAATGTGAAATTACCTGCCCTTTGACCCTCTGGAGAGACCTAGACCCATGTCTTCTAAAAGCCTTCCTCGGCCGTCCATTGATGTGTGCAGTGAACGGCCGATTGTCTATTCCGCAGCCATGGCAGGCACACAGAAATTCCTCACTCATTTCAGCAAAACTTAGCCTAATGGGGACTACAATCAAAGTAACGGGGGTGCTCTAGAAGCTTGCCTGGAGACCTGGATTTGGAACCTTTTGAAGTTTTGGTAAAATAAGCGATGCTTTCCTTGTCTGTGTTCTCTTCCCTTCCGAAGGGGGAGTGAGGAAGGAACGGAAATTGAAAGCAGAGCTAAAGCATCTCTTCCCACAACCTTTCCTTCTCTCTTTTGCTGGGGCGGAAAGTGACGTGGGGCTGCTGGGCTGCATCAGGGGGTATGCTCGTCAGGTCCTCATCACCTGTGCAGTTCCAAGTGGCAGAGGAAAGTGCAGCCGAAAACATCCTGAAGGATGCTCTCCCAGGGCAGCCAGGGTCCTTTTCATCTTCACCTGAAGGCAACCCTCGCCCAATTTAATGCATCATTTAGCTCACCATTAGTGAAAAAAGCCTCCCCAGGGTGGCTCACGATGACCCTAGGGCTTCGCAAAACAGACTGAGAAAGAGGGTTACCAGTCCTCAGTTCCCTGTTTAGAACCCCTTCTTAAGGTGAGCTGCAAATGCAGACATGGGGCCAAGTGAGGAGGTTGAGGAGTGCAGGCTTTGAACGACAGATGTGCTTTCTCTAAAGCTGCTGGGTCCCACCACCCAGGAGATAGGAGAGCTTTGGATACGGCGTAGAGGGAAGGAAGGAAAGAAGGAAGGGGGGGGCAGAGGAGAAGAAAGAGGAAGGATGGAAAAAGGAAGGAAGGGGGAGGAAAGTTATTGCCCACCATATCAAAACTTTTGGACATTATTTTAGCTAATATTTACAACGCCACGTATATTTTTATTATCACATCTCAGTTTTATAGAAGAGCAAATAGATCTTCCCAGGGATTGAGTAACTTCTGCAAAGATGCTCAAAGGGTAGAATCAGGATTTGAATCTTGAGCATCTGTCCCAGCCTTCTCCTTTCTTCTTCCCTGTTAGGGGGCTTTGTGGCTCCCTGCAGGACCCCCAAGTAAAACGAGGCCAGAGTTCAGTGGTCACCACCCAGGAGATAGGAGAGCTTTGGATACGGCGTAGAGGGAAGGAAGGAAAGAAGGAAGGGGGGGGGGCAGAGGAGAAGAAAGAGGAAGGATGGAAAAAGGAAGGAAGGGGGAGGAAAGTTATTGCCCACCATATCAAAACTTTTGGACATTATTTTAGCTAATATTTACAACGCCACGTATATTTTTATTATCACATCTCAGTTTTATAGAAGAGCAAATAGATCTTCCCAGGGATTGAGTAACTTCTGCAAAGATGCTCAAAGGGTAGAATCAGGATTTGAATCTTGAGCATCTGTCCCAGCCTTCTCCTTTCTTCTTCCCTGTTAGGGGGCTTTGTGGCTCCCTGCAGGACCCCCAAGTAAAACGAGGCCAGAGTTCAGTCTTGGAGTGGCATCATGTTCTCCCAGATGGTAGCTCAAGGCATCGCCAGGTCACTGGGGCGCCCCCACAGGACTGTTCAGGGGGAGCGGACAGGTGCAGGGCGGCTGTCTGGGGTGGGGCTGCTGCACCTAGGTGTCCCTGTTGTGGTGACACCTGCCAGTACCGGTCCCATTGCTAATGTCTTCATTCTTAATAAATCAAATTAAAAACACCAAAACTGGAATACAGAAAAGAACAACAAACAAAGCCACCCTTGGATGGAAGACGTCCTGTTCCTCACTCTGTTAAACTGTACCTTCTATACCAGTCTTCTACAGATATGTGCTTTGAGATGATTTTAATTTCGAGATTTAATACGATGGTTCTGTGCACTAGTCATGTTTTATCTTGCTTAGAGTAAATCACTGTGGAATCTCATGCAGTCATTTCACTGGTCTACCATGATTTGGAAGACTTGTGTCTCTTTTCAACCGATAATCCTGTTTAATATCTGTGTGATTCACTACAAGATGCAGTGTAATGTTGCTTGCCAAGATTGTGTGGAATATATGTGTGCCAAGATAGTTCTTGCCTCCTGTTACACAGCTTTGAACACCACAGTTGGACATTCTTTTGTGGTTGTCATTTACTCAAAATATTGACAGAGTAGGTGATCTTCTAAAGGGAGAAGATAGTTTCAAAGTACGTAAAAGACACTTCCTGAGAAATTCGACATGGCTGGGTTTGCTAGAGCAATGGCATTTTTTGATATCGTGGTGAACACCTCTTTCTTACTAAAACTTCTGTGATCATTGTTGAAATTTTAATCTTTTATCATCTAACTAATAGTTCAAGGATTTTCAGTGATTCAACCTTGGTCCAATGTATAAGTTGTATTTTCTCGGGCCAGCAGCATGTCTACTCTCAGTCCCGAGTGTCTGATCTGTAAAAAGGGATAATAGTACCTACTAAGAGAGAGTTTGCTTAGGGAGGTAAGGATTATGCCAAGTCCACTGAGTAGTACGTGTACCTGATTTACGACCGGTGCTCAGGAGATGAAGTTTACTCTGATTCGTTCTCGAGAGCAGTGTTTGTTTTTCAGGGCTGTGGCCAGCTGGGATTGGGTGATATTATTCTGAATGAAAAACTCTCATGCCCACCAAAGAAACCAAGCATAATGTACAAATATATTTTTAACATGAGCATGTTTGGAAATGGAAATCAGCCAGCATCCTAATCCAGTAATTCTAACAGAACTGGCAATACATGAAGATAGTTAAAGGGCCAGCGAGATCGTATAGTGGTTAAGGTGGCTGGATCCCACATGGCTGACTTTGTGATTTAAGTCTCAGACCTGGAGGTTTGAGAAACATGACGTGCTTGTGTGTGCACGTACACCCAAAATCTCAAGAAGAGAATGGAGGAGAAGAGATTGCAGTGTGCTCTCCCTGCTGGAGGGTAATTACTCACTTTCCCTCTCTCTTTCTCTTTTTCTCTCTCTCCAGCAAGTGCACATGCCCTATTGGAAAAAAAAAAAAGCAAAACAACTAAAACAGAAAAGGTTATATTAAATATTTATATGCTGATAAGCCCTTCTATGCACTGCAGATATTATGATAGACATCAGAATTGGTAGTAAGGTATGTTCCATGTTTACATTAGTAATAAGCTATGATTAATTCAAGTAAGTAGACCAAGAATATACAGTGTAATTTTCTAATTTATCACTAAAAGAATGTGTGTATATCATTCATGTTTAAAGCACTCTCATGCTAAAACCTAATGCTAAATACAATGTGGGGAAATATATTGGTTTTTACCAGACAAAGCTATAGAGCATAAAAAGTATTTCATCAGGAAAATTATTTTTATCTTAAAAGAGAAACTAAAGAGCTATATCAAAACAACACATTATAACCCATTAGAGGTTTGTTGTATCTGAAATTTATCTAAGTCTTTTCAGGTGTATTCTGTTTTCTGTTCCTACTATGTCTTTGGATAATGAATTCTCTGAGCAATTGCGTGGTGAATTAGATAAAACACAGGTTTTATACTCAAATGTGTTCTCTAGTAACTAAGACTTCTTGAATGTACTTGCTTCTTCTGTAAAAATGGTTGGAGGCTACCCTGGTGATACCCTGTCGTGGAAAGTTTGTCAAATGAGATCATGGTGTTAAAGGGTTCTGTGAACAGAGAACCATACAGTTACAAAAATGGACTTAATTGTCTTCTTCCTGAGCAAAACAAACCTCTTCTTCATGGCGTCTTAATGGTTGTGCCTAAGATACTAGACTTGGGTGAGTGAATATATGTCGAAGGCTTCATATGTGAGAATTTCTTTAATGGAAATAATGAAAATGAAGCAGCTAAAAGGGTTAATGGCTTTATTTTGTTCCAGCTTTTCTGTTATTGCTTATATTTAAAAACATGGGATTTGGCTTCAGCTGCTCTGAGAACGAAGACCATTCTCAGCTGCCACACCAGAGATGTTCCTGAAGTGATGCATATTATTTGAAGGGCCCCAGAGGAGCCTGGAGCGAACTCCCCACATTACATAACCTCCCAGCCTTCATCACATCAGGGTAGAACCCAGCCTCCTTGGAAAGAAAAAGAGGAGCCTGCAGGTTGATAAATGGTGGGGAAATCGAAAAGAACGGCTTCGTGCACAACGTCTGTAGTGCTGTATAGAACGTGACCAAGGATATTGCACTAGGCTCCCCCGTCCAGATGAGCTCGGTGTACGCTCTCTTCCCATTGGCGCTGGTGCTCGGGCCAGTGGGTTTCTTGTTGAAATCTGAAATTTCTTGGGGGAAAAAAACCCCCACAGGTTCAGAGGTGACCAGGTGGTGCCTGTTCAGTATCTCAGGCTGAGAGAGATGAGTGAATCCTTGAATGAAATGACATTGATCTTGTTTCAAACTCAGCTGCTTTGACTCAGCAAAGTCTCAACAGTTGAGAATCAGGACATCAGCAGCCTGGTGAATAAGCCCTAAGAGTTCACCAACTACAGAAACAAAGTGCCTGATGATGTCAAAGACCGATTTGTGATGTTTTAAGAATGTAATAAAAACTCCTTTGGAAAAAAGAAAAAGGAACATAGCAAAAAGGAGCAGCTTGTGTTGTTCTCAACATAACGAAGCACTTTACCTACTTTACCTTCATTTCTTCTGGATAAATAAATTACTCTTGATTGAATTACCTTCCACTTTTAAAGAACTTAACCCTTGAGTGGATCTGCTTCTTTTAGAGTTTATTTAGTAATTTCCTTCATGATGGTACATAATTTAAGAGTGGAGTACTGACCAGGCTGGGATGGTCATTTATACCATGTGTGCATGTAGTTCCCCAATAGTGAACTGTTCCACACTGGGAATCATGAGAGACAGCCCTCAATTACTGGCTTTAAATCATTTTTATTTCAGATTCTCCCTCGATTTCCATTTGTAAGTATGACCAATTGTAAATCTGGCTTCAAATTCTTTTGCTTTAATATTGATTATTATCAATAGATATGTTTTGCCAATGAAGACCTGAATAATCAAAAACAGAAATATGTCATTGGAGAGCGAGACAGAAGCAAGGCTTTTGTAGAAATAGGTGGGAATTCACAGTTTTAAAAGGAAGCCGAAGTACTTACTTAGATGGCAATGTCATAGTTAAATACAGACCCAGGCACCGATTTCCCTTCTTTTTAAAAAAATTTTTTTTATAGTTAATTGACTTAAAAAATTATATATATATGTGTGTGTATATATATATATATACACACACATATATATATATATTTTTTTTTTTTCTTTTAAGGATTTGCAATAGGGTGTGTACACTCGTGGGACAGAGACAGAGATGGACAGAGACAATGATAGGGAAAGTGAGAGATCACCCCCTGGGGGGATGGCCATGCTGCAATCTCTTCTCCATTCTCCTCTGAGGATCTTGGGCACGCGCGCACATGCAACCACTGTGATTTTCAAGCCACCAGGCCCAGAACTATTAGAATCACAGCTGGCCATGTGAGAGTCCAGCACCTTAACCACCACACCACCTGCTGGACCCTCACTTTCTTAAAATGTTTTTCTTAGACTTGACTGATAAACACTGTATTCATGCTTAGAAAAAGTTTTGTATGCTGTAAAGATGTAAAGTGAAAATGTAAATTTTAAAAAAGTAATAAAATACAAATTTTAAAAGCACTGTAATATTTTAAAGCCAATTTTCTCAAGAAAAAAAATGATCATGCTTTATAAAAGGAAATATTTCTTCCATTAGCCTTATTTCTTTAATAATTTTCTAGCCAAGAAGAAAGCAACAAATACCTACTCATGCTCAACTAATCTTAAATAACTTCTTGACAATTCATCTGTTTTGAAATGCCAAATTCATTTTCGGAATGTTGCCTCTCTGCCATTTCTTTTTTCACTTTGTTGGATTTATGACTTCAAAAGAAATATGTCTTGCAGAATTACTCTTAATATCATGTGGATTGAGATCAATAGTAAAACAAAATATTACATGGTGTCAATTGAAACATTTCATCACATTTAAGCTTACAGATTCAATTTGGGAGGTTATGAAACACGAACGCTTCCCATGGGGACAATGAGTGGTAATTACTGAAGATGCCTGTAAGTTAAATGTTATTAGCGGGTAGCCCCTCTGCTTTCTGAAGACATTGTGGTTGGCTCTTCCCTCTCCAGTACGGTCCATGTTATCAGGTCCAAGAAGAAATGAGTTGGTATCAAGAGAATTTGAGCTGGAAAAACTTACAGTGTGCAAACAATGAAATGATAACTTTTATCAGATAATGCTAGTAAAAATTCATACTTATGGGCCAGGAGGTGGCGTGGTGGTTATGGCATTAGATTCCCACATGGCTGACTGTGGTTCGAGTCCCTGACCTAGCAGCTTGCATTCTCGCTTTCCCTCTCTTTTTCTGGTCAAATTGAAAAAAAAAAAA